TGTGTAGCTTCTAATGTACAGTGATCTCAAGAAAGTAACATCTAATAGTCAGTTTTCTAAGTCATCATTTCTTTGACCTCACTCAAAAAGGATAGGCTTTCCACTTGTTTTTTGTTTTTGTTTTTGTTTTTTGTACCGGGGATAAAATCTCATGACCTCGTGTTTGCCAAGCAGGCACTTACACTGCTGAGCTAAGTCCCTGGCCCCTTCCACTTGTATTTTTAGGATTATGATCAGAGGAGGTTAACTGGTGAAACCCATCCATTCAATGATTCTGCTGCCAGGTCTTCACTGAGAAGGTATAGACTCAAAATAATTCCAGTATTCAACTTCTATCCAGATCCCAAAAACATTTTTAGAAATCTATGTACAGTATTTCAGAAAGTGAGAAAAGTTACAGGAGACTCTCCTCCTCCACCTTTCTCCCATCAGGAAAAGAAAATAAATGTTTGCAGTAATCATCTTTGGAAAGGGAAGGATACTAGCTCATTTATGAAAATGCCAGGGTTCTTCACCTGTCAGGTCTAACACCAGTGCAGCTGCAGAAGCCAGAGACACATTTGATTCTCCTTGTGTCACAAACAACTGCCATAATTTGCACAGAAAACCATGGGGTGGGCTATACAGGGGCAGCCAGTATTTGACAAGGCTGAATGATGACTTAAAACAACAGGGGTAGGCACTGTGGTTCTTCTTGTCCATCAAACCAGGCAAATCTGAGGTAGATTGCTGAGCACTGCCACATGAAAACATCATTTGAAATTTAAATTCCTTATAAAACACTAAGAAAATATGGGTCACAAGGCTGCCAACAGAGATTCTAGAGAATCAGCTGTCACTAACTCACGGAAAGACTTAGAAGTTTCTGAAAAAGCATCAAGAAAGTGGTCATTTGAAGAGCTGGCCGTTTAACAAAACATCATTTCAGAGTCAACACATTGAGTTACTGGTGGGGGACAGGTTGTCATTACCTGTATTTTTATCTCTGGGTATGGTAATTATCTCTGATGTGATAAAATACTGATTTTGATGCTCCAGTAAAATTGTAGTAGGTTATAAGACTCTTGGTTTGATGAAGAAATTAGTCAAAATACATTATTTCAATGTTTGGAGTTTTCTCCTGGAGATTGAGAAATATCCTATATATGAGCTTAACAAATTTTTGTGAACTTTGAACGCATTCCCCCAACAGATACTCTGTGCATTTTTACCTTCTTGTAGCACCTGACTCATGCATTGCCCTCTGGCTCTCAAGACTACCTCCTTTACTAAGGAAACGCATTTCCATCTGCCCCTGAGTTGTCATTTGCCTTTCTAGGTCTTGCTCCAGAAGTTTTTTTTTTTTCTGCCTTCAACCTCTCTTGCCTCTGGCTTCTTTTACACAGTCTATATTATGAGACATCTAGGCTCACTTTCTTGCTACCCGTAGGGCATGACTCTTTCTCTCCATCCCTCACCATCCCTTCTCAGGAGTGTGTTCCACACTGCCTTGCCACCCGATATCCCTTGCTGTTTGGCTGCTGAAACTACTTTTCTCTGAAGTCTCCAAAATTCACTGACATTTCTCAGTCAGTTATCACACTATTTCACTACCTTGGAATACATGTGTGTCTATCTGTCTGTCTGTGTCTTCTTCTGCTTGAGAATAAAATGCCCAAATGCACTTATGCTCTTTGTTAACAATTTAAGAGGCAAAGCATATTTTTCTGTAGCTAAAATATTAGAATGAAAGAAAAGAACTCCAAGTCACAACCTACCATGAAAAGGCAAGTGGACCTAATGAATGATAAAAGCAAAATGACCAAATCCCTTAGCAAAATCAGAGATTTAAGAAATATGTGTTTTCTTCTTCTCTCCTCATCCATAAGGCATCAGAGTGCCTTAGAGTTCTGGTGCTAAACAAGAAGGGCCATCTTGAAGACACATTGTTCTTCACCATGGCCCATGGTTGTCCTGACAAATGCAATAAGGTGTGCACAGAGCTGCAGTGAGCGCGTCCACCAGTGTTCCTGTAGCCCTCCCAGGTAGATTCCCTTCAACACTGTGTGTAAGACTCAGCCCCACCAGTGAGCCAATTAAATATGCTTTATTATTTTTTTAAGGTCCCATCTCAGTAGCAGAGTGGATGGCTAATTTTCTGACATCTGTTTGACTCATTTGTGGTCCTTACAAAATACACCCTGTTGTAGAACACAGTATCTGGCTTTATTTTGAAGCAGTTCCATTTCTTCACAGGGTAGATAGGAATGTGCAAAGTAATTGCTTTCTCTTGTGTGGGATATCATTTATGAAATGGAGTTCAGTTCTTTTTTCAAAAGGAATTGTGAGAATGTCAGAGAAATTCTGAAGCAAACTGGATATTTAGCTAAAAGGCTTTCCACTGAAGATATAAAGTACTCCTTGGAAAGATGTATTCATCCCCATAAGAGTAGACTCCATAACTAGAAAGTAGAGAAACAGACTTTGGATATTGCATCCCTATTCATGAGCCCAGGAAACTCCCTGGAATGGAGCTTCAGAGCTCAAAACTACAAAGAAATGGCCACAGAGATGAACATCAAAAAAACTGCCATGTTAGAATTCCCTTTTAAAGAATTACTTTTGTTCCCCCTGATCCTAGCAAAAGGAAAATACTGTTAACTAAAACCCTAATTGAAACCTCGTTGTTTTGATTAGATACAAAGTCTTGATTTTATCCAGGAAGGAGAAAGAGATTACTTAGCAGAAGCACTTGCTACCCGCCTCAACACCACCTACAAAGGCAAAGGTTTGGGAGAAATGCTCACAGCTACACATTATCACAGAGTAGACCTCTGCCATTTCACCTGGTATGATTAATGAAATTGACTATGTGCCTGTTTAAAAAAATAGGTCTAGCCCACTATTATGACAATTTTCTTTTTTTTCTTTTTGAATTCTTGTAGCAGCTTCTTTTTAAAAATAAGCATTTAAGACAAAGTATTTATTTAAACTTATATTATCTCTCATGCTTACCTTTTTTGTAGTGAGAACACTTAAAATATATCCAGTTACCAATTATCAAGTAAATATTACGTTGTTTTTAAATATAGTCAGCATGTTTCTCATAACGAATGGAAATCCAGCCCTTCCTTTCTGTCCCTTAAGTACTGAGACCCACCAATTCTCTGTCTCTAATGTCTCTCCTTTATCCTGTCCTCATTGAAATTCTCCTTTATTCATCCCTCAATAAAGGCTTAAAATCGCAGCATTGTGCTACAGGCTGGTGACACACAGGGAAGACGAGAGTCAATGAATAAGTAAAAAACAAAACACTGTAGTTACTGGCCAGTAAGCATCCAGGATGATAGGTGTGCAGGACTTTAAAGGCTTCATCCATGTCTTTTTTCTGTCCTAGTATGACTCATGTCTTACTTCAGCCACTGGCAAACTTCCAGCCACATGGCCCTTCTGCCCCCTGCCCTGTTGCCTGAGCTTTATTTCCAAATCAAACTGGCATACCCCTTATTAAGCCCTCCCATTGCTCCCTATTGTGGCAGCCAAGGAAAGCTCCAATCTTCTTGATCGTACTTGTAAAACCTTAAAACTCAACTTGGCTTTCTTACTTTTTCTGTAAAGCATTCTTTTACAGCATATTTACTGTTCTTGCAACCCATGAAAGAACAGAAATGAAAAACATCTACTCTGCCTTAAAATTTTGCCATTAGTATCATTTTCAACCACTCTCTTTCCCCTTCAGCAATCAATCCAGTGGATCATTTTCCTAATGATTGCCGTTCACACTTTGCATAACTGTTTGAAATATCAAGACACTGAATGGTTCTGATGAACACAGATAATCAGTCTGTGATTATTTACCATCCTGATGTATTCACAGAGGCTCAGTGCAGGTACACAGCATAGAGTAACCATGCAGCAGTCCACAGGAAACAAGTCCTCCTCTTATGGACATTGAGTCTGTCCTTATAGATGAATGCCATCTCAGGAGTGAATGAGAGTCACCACTTCTCCCACTGTAATAATAGCCATTCATTTACTTACTAGGTCATTCAGGCATCAGACAATTTCTGCTAGCTGATATCATGTGTTGCAAGGACAGACTGTGTCTCTATAGATCTCACAGGCCCTTTTATGATAAATCTGTGATTTGATCAAATGCTAGCATAATACAGGAATGAATCAGGTCACTGCTGAGGAAGTCAAGGAGTTTAGAAGAGGTCAGTTGAGAGGTTCTTAAGAGTAAATAAATGGGTCTTTTGTGGCAAGAATTGTGTGCATTTAAGCAATTGAGGGTAATAGTAGCAGATGGATGGCAAAAATTGCTGCCTTATTACGTGGAATCAAAATGCACAAGTAATCAAGAAACTATGCAGCATGTTTGCAAAATTATGGCAAATTCAGGGAAGCAGAAAAGAGTGGGGAAAGGGTGCAGATGTAACAGAAAATGCCACACATTCCCCCAACCAATATACTTCAGTTTCTTAGTTACCCAGCTAACAATAGTTCCTGTTCCAGTTCCAGTTGTTTTTTCTTTTAGAAACAGCTGGTCAGTGTGATGCCTAGCTGGTTACTATGATGCGTATTGTAAGAAACAATCCCCAACCGACAAGCCATTCTGCTTCTGTACTTCCTGCTTGCCTATCCTATATAAGTCCTCGAATACCAGAGACTTTGGCCTGATATTCTTGGAATGATCCCTATCAGTGCCTGTTGACTCCAGTCCTGGGTGTTGTTTCTGTTTCTGATTGCCGTTGCACAGACACAGAAGTTGCTAGAAGGTAAGCAGAATACAGATTGTAAAGGACTTGTACTAAGGAGCTCAAACTTTCTCTGTAAGCATTAGGGATCCAAGGGAAATCACTAAGCAGAGAGATGACATAATCAGGTATTTTTTGAATGAAGATCTAGTGTTGGTATAAAGGATGAATTTTAAGAAAGCATTATTTCCTGAATGCTTTTAAGGAAAGAAAGCTCCCATTGCCAAAACCTAGCTAACTCTTCATCTTTGTGTGTCTTCCTAGTGACAGTGCTGGCCATTTTCCATGAATTGCATGTCGACCCTGACCTGTATACACTCTTGTTTGGGGAGAGTGTGCTGAATGATGCAGTGGCCATAGTCCTCACATAGTAAGTACCATGACTCAGCCTATGTTTCTTTAACCACATGAAATATGATGCCACTCAGAGCTAATTCCTGATGTCTTTAATGAAATCTTTTCTCTGTGTCATAGTGATGGGCAATTTCTTGCTTTTAAGGATTTGTTATCACAGATAATCTCCAATAATGTTCGCAATTCATTAAGCACCTAATTTCTAATACTATTAATGGGTTTCACATTTCCAGCTTATTACAAGACACTACCCAGAGGGTAACAGATATTTTTTTTTCTCAGTGCTTATATTTGGCTGCTTCATTTAGGGTTTATAAAAAGCCCATAAATGAGCTTCCCTCATTTCAAGTCAATACCATTTAATTTTTTTTCCTCGGACAAGTCACTTTCCAGATAACAGACTAACAGAAGCCCTTGTATTTATAGAGAGTTTGGCAGATTGAAAAGAACTTGAGGGTCAGAATACTTTTATTTCTCAATGCAAATGTAAAGCTTTATAGGAATGTGCACATCTTTAAATCATCGCATGACAAATGAAACTGATGGAGCTTCAACTAAGCTAATATAATTTCCTTTTGTGCTGGAAGGATTTTTTTCTTTGAGATGAGAACTGGTGCTCTTTCCTCACCTCTTTTTTAGACACTTACCATTTATATTTAATAAATGCCACTTTGGTAGCTTTCACTATGTCAAAGGTCTTTTCTTGGTTTTAGATTAAGACTAACATTTTGGGCAACTGTCAGACATCCCAGAGGAAAGGAGATATCTAATAATTTAATGTGACAACTGGACCTTATCTCTAGTGTTAATTACTTCAATGCAGTTAAAAATGTATTATGAAGCAACAAAGGATTTTTAAAAGTCAAATCTCATAGATAGGAATAAAAGAATTGAAAGCACCATTTTTGTTTTTATTTTGTTTTGTTTCATTTCATTTTGTTTTTGTCCACTGACATTACTTACAGTTGCCACAAATTCATCAACTTTCAAGGGAGCCTCCAAATATAGTGCTTATATTTCACCTGGACGCAAAAATACAAGAAATACAAATTAAATGGCTTGGGCAGATTCACAGTGCTAAAGACTACTTTCAAAGAATGCCAATAATTAATTAGAACAAACAGGAATCCCTGACCAAGAAACACTAACATTCAAGGAACATATGGAATAAAAACAAATTTATAACTGCTGAGTTCCTCATTTTTTTTTTACTTCCTGAGATGCCAACTTGTAAAAGGCCAAGCAAAGCCAAGCCACTGAAGCACAAATGACATTGGGAAAGGACCAAGCAGCTGAGAAAAGGTTTGGCCTTTCTGATTCCAGCAAACTACTCACATGTATATGTACTAGCTCATGAATGAATTCCACTTGATAGGTTGGCACCTCTAAAAGTCATTAATAGGCTATGAAGGGAGAAATCTGGAGGGGTGGATGGTTTTCAGTCTTAGTGAAAACATTAATTTCAGAGACAGCATGACAAAGTAGGAAGATTAGATTGAAATTCAAAAGATCTGGTGTTAGGATTGCTACTAAATAACTTTGCAATTATTGCTATTGACAGGAAACCAACCCAAACTGAGGTGAACCAAAAGAGAATCCATGTTAGCTGATTGAAATGAGCACCGTGAATAGAAATGGCTCAGGAAAGACCCCAATGACCTGAGCAGCACTCACTCATTTCTTCAAGATGAGTGCCTTTTTCTGCTCTTGCAGTGACTGCCAGCATCTCCCAGGGATGTCTCATAAAACCAGAGTCTTAGATCTACTATTCTTATTGTCAGGCCAAATTTTGGTGCACTTTATAGATTCTGAAATATTTCCCAACTTACTCGGAGCCAATCACTTTGGCCAAGAAAATGTTCTGCATGTATTGACTCAGGCCTAAGTCATACCCTAGTGACTTCAAGAGTGTGATTAGCTTCACTTTGAACCACATGAGCTGAGACAAGGGGAAGGCAGAATTGTTGCTTAAGTTAATATTGCCAATAAAAAGTTGATAATGGATATAAATACAAGGCAACGAAACCTAGGTGAGTAGTGTAGTGATTTTATGTGGACCATAAATTGTACTTGTTTCTTTGTCTAAAATGTAAGAACAGTTGTTAGTTGTTTTACATAGACTACAAATTATTCTGAGAGACAAATAAAGCAAATACAATTGGGAAGGCTCATATCTCTGTAATGAATGCAGTCTATTATAAGTATTTAAGTATACTTACATTGTCATTTATATCAATATCTTTCTACTTACACAGACTCTCCAGTGCCATTACAATGATTAAAGATAGATCTGCTTCTAGTGAAACATTCTTTCATAAATGTGGCATTTTATGATCCAAAGAATATATAGAACAGAGAATAACCATTTTACATGTGATTTCCTCCATTAGGAATGAATCACTAGTTAAGACATACTGACTAAAGTTGATAAATCCAGAAATGGAGGTTGAAATGTATTACTTATAAAGTACTTGCAAGCAAAATTGATATTATTCAAGTTAAGTAAAGGCAGAATGGGAGAAAGAAATAAGCTAGCTAAATTCCACATTTTCTCATAGTAGATATCAGTACCATATAGAGTTGATAAAGAAATGAAAGTGCTTATTATTAAGAGTTGTAGGACAATCATCAGAAGAAAAAATTAAGTGCTTAAAAATGGATACCATTGCTGTGCAATACTATGGTTCAAACAAAGAGATAAGATCACTTAATTCCTTATTTTGCATCGTGCCATATTATCTGCATGTTTTTGATGCATTTACATTATATTTATTTAATATAATATTTAATGTTTTTCTTCAAATGATCAAGACATCAAAAGCAGAAATTATGAAAAAAAGCCAATTTACTTAACTGAGTAAAGCCACTCAAGTGGGCAAAAAATACTACAGAAAATTCACGGATTAATGATGAACTAAGGAAAGCATTTTCAATACACCTGTTCATAGTTTACTTTATAATATACATAATACATTTTTAATCTCCTCAATATAAAAAATTCACTGACTTTTGATAAGTTACTCCTCTGTGCTGCAGCTACCTGCTTTGTAAAATAAGAATGTTAACGGCACTTGCTTCACTGGATAGAATTAAACACAAAACAGCAAGACCAAGGCCTAGTGCATAACCCAATACTTTGCTAAATCTTAATGACTTTCATTACTCTTATCATCAAAGGCTTCTGATAAAACAAAAACAAGAGAAAAATGAGCAAAAGATGCAACTACATAATGAAAAAAGACGAAACACAAATAGCCAATAACTTCACTAATGATGAAAGAGAAAAATCAAGCCAACTCCAGAATATCATTTTTTTTACCTAGAAAAATCTTCAAAACTTCAGAACTCTTAAAATATGATCATTTTAGAGTAAGTGAGAGCATGGGAATGGAAACCTTTCTATGTTAGTGATGAAAAACAAAATGATACAACTTTTTAAAAGAAAATTTACCAATATTTATTGAGTTTTTAGACTTTGAGAAAAATTTAATGCAGCCATAATTTCTAGAAATTTGATTTATGAAATAATTAAAAGCATGTGCAACAATGAAAATGAGTGCAATGATTACAGCAAGAAGTTGTACATAACTGTTCTGGTTGGTTGAACAAGTTCTTATATATAGATGTTATGGAATCTGTGTGATCATTTTAAAATGATATGGAATAAAGTGTATCAATTTAAAAAGATTCACAGTATATTTAAACAAATAAGAAAATTTAATATATACTATTTATATTTAATAAGTATAAGAACTATAACTAGGAAATATCAATATATAATAAAACCTAGTTTGATTTAAAATCACAGCCAATTTTGACTGGTTTTATTCTGTTTTATCCTCTTTGAAATAAAAAGAATAAAATAAAATCACAGCCAAATATATGTGGGTGTATACATACATATATATATATACATATCTAATTATAGGAGATATGTTTCAATTAACAAAATTTATGTGTAATTACATATTATAAATAAGTTATACTTTTATCCATATAGATATATTAAAATAATGATTTTGCATCATCTATATGTAAATGGCATACATGAAATATCCACTTCTTATGTAAAGTATAATTTATATGTATACACAAAGTATTATGTGAAAGCACAGGTGATTTTTCTTGGCTTGTTTTTTGTGAGTAGTAATAACTACTTATGATCAACTCTAGCCCAAAGAATCCTCATTAGCATAGTTAAGAACTGGCAATCCTTAAAATGCAGATTCCACAGAAATAAAGTTAGAATTTTTTCCTATCCATGAAAGAACAGAAACAGAATAGATATTGTGGGTTTATTTGGCCATTTGTCTGCAAAACAAAAATGTTGCCGGTATTAAACTGAAACATCTACTTGTAAAATAATTCCACAGTATGCAAATGTCTCCAGATTTTCTTAAAGTAAGTACCTCACTAAACCACTGGCTCTTAGATAACAATAGGTGCCTTTATTTCCTGTAAAGCAAATGCTTATAAGAAATTTCAATGTAGTTCATTAAAAGAGAGGGAGAAACGGAGCATCAATTTTCTCTTTTTAAATGAGAGTGCTATGCTGCTTAGATGTTCTTACTTTAAAATGCCATTTAATGTGTGATGCCAGTGAATGCTTGGCACTTAGAGTGAGTGATATTTTGAAAGACCACATTTCTTATAGCTCATGCATCTTAAGGGAAATTTAACATGAAAGTTAATGGGATGGCTGTGAGACTCAAACAACCACAGAACTAAGGAACTATGAGGTATTTTCCAGCTGTTCAACCAAAATGTACTGAGCACCAGCCCAAAACGGACACTGTGTGAAATGACAGTAGTACAGATTAGAGGAACATAGTCATCCATCCTGCCATCAATAATTCCCCACTGAAATAGATAAGCAATAGCTATAACAGGATTTAAAAAGTTGTAACAAAGCCTGGTTCTAAAAATTATTTCAAAACTAGCTGTGACTTTGAAGAAAAAGAGACATTATGGTATCCATTGCTGATTTCCTATTGTCATGCTGTGAAATCCAGTAAT